AAAAGCGAATATGCTACGTAGAGTGTCAATAACACATGCGCGGCGAAAAAAATCTATTGCAAAAAGCGTCAAAAGTTGTAAAGGCAGTGCGCACGTGTGTTGCATGTAGTCCGTGCACGCACCCCACCCATAAATGAATCCCGCACAATGCCCCAACCGCCAAATCGGCATATTCAAACTAGAAACCCTCAAACCAAAGCCCAGGCACCCAGGCACTGCCCATATTTTCTTGAGTTACACAGCATTATTATAGTCTACCTGCTACCGCCCCCTTATGTATAACAAAACACCCCAGCCCCCCTTTCCCCCATTTGCGAGGAGGAACGGGTCAGTTAGGAGCAAAAGGATGGCAGGGCATGACGGGGGCCCCCGGCAACCTAGCCAAATTGACATCGTAGGCCGTCATCATATGGCCACAGAGTCCGGGATATGGCAAAACAGGCGAAGGGAAGGGGGGAAACGAGGGGGGTATGGGTCGATTTTAGGATCGTTAGGATTGCCAAGGGCATGAGGGGGGGCCACGGCAACCTAGCCAGGATGCCCTCGCACGGTGTCATATGGCCATACCGTCCTGGGATAGGGTGAAACGTCGGGAGAGGGGGGGGGGTAACGAGGCGGGGCGGGGTGGGTATTGCATCATCATGGCCACTATAGCTTTAGCATGGGAACAAAACCTCCTGCATTTACAGGAACACAACTGCTACAGTACATAGCTTGCTTGGGACAGGGCAAAGGTGCCGCCCGCCTTCTTGTGGGTCTGTGGGTTCAAGTCCCAGCTTTGTCCCGTAACCCGATAACTATATGGTGGCGCTAGGGCTTGGCAGGGCAAGTGCTGTGCTAGGCGGCTCGGGCAAAGGGGCGCCCGCCCTAAGTCATCTTCCCTTCCGTGTGGAGGTCGCGTACACACTGCGGCGGACTACGCGCGCACACACACGGAGCAACGTACGTGCGCGCTGCCTTCACACCTTTTTGACGCCTGGTGCTACAGATTTGTTCGCCGCGCATGTGTTGACACACTTCGTTGCAAGATCGCTTTTCTTATGGCTGCGATGGGATCTGAAGCTATGGAAATGGCAGGCGGATTGCGAAGCAAAGCATGGACAAGCTTTGTTTCTTTTCCGTTGTTCATGATATTACAGCTGCGTGAGATGCCGTCGCGTCGCGATTTGGAAAATGTTTGTTCGCTGGTT